TTGTTTGTTATGATCTTTGTTGTTTGTTATGGTCTTTGTTGGTTGTTATGATCTTTGTTATTTGTTATGATCTTTGTTGTTTGTTGTGATCTTTGTTGGTTGTTATGGTCTTTGTTGTTTGTTATGATCTTTGTTGTTTGTTATGATCTTTGTTGTTTGTTATGGTCTTTGTTGGTTGTTATGATCTTTGTTATTTGTTATGATCTTTGTTGTTTGTTGTGATCTCTGTTGGTTGTTGTGATCTTTGTTGTTTGTTGTGATCTTTGTTGTTTGTTGTGATCTTTGTTGGTTGTTATGGTCTTTGTTGTTTGTTATGATCTTTGTTGTTTGTTATGATCTTTGTTGGTTCTTATGATCTTTGTTGTTTGTTATGATCTTTGTTGTTTGTTATGATCTTTGTTGGTTCTTATGATCTTTGTTGTTTGTTAAGCACAATGCTACACAAAGGACTAGCTGTACCCTGCCCACCGCGGGTATCGAGAAACAATAGCATTCGTGTTTAAACTATTGTTAAACTAAACAAAAATACGAAACAATGCCATCCATGTTTAAACTACTGTTAAACCAAACAAAAATACGAAACAATACCAATCGTGTTTAAACTACTGTTAAACCAAACTTTCGACAATGTTTTAAAAATTACAAATACGAAGCTTAATTAAAAACCTTAAAGTTCAATTAAATTACTAAATGTGTTTTATAGCAGATATTCCACACAAGTATCGTGTAATCACAAATCTAAACTACTGAAACATCAGTTTTTTTTTTAGTTTTGAAACTGAAACTGCGTGCTGATTAGCTCAATTTTACCGTTTAAATAAAATAAATAAAAAATCAGGCTTACAAAAGTTGTGACTTGAAATATTTTCTCCCAAAACGTTCTGATTTCAAGTGTTTTATCATGTTGAATACTTCTCCTGATATGTTTGTAATCAGTACTTAATATACTATTGTTTAATTTGACGTGACGTATTAAATACATAAGTATTTTCGTATTTTTTAAATAGGACCGCTTTTAATAAACGAGCGCAAAAAGTTCGCTATCTTCAAAGTTTTATATTCAGCTGCACCGTTTACATGTATTAATAGCTCGGCTGGGCGTGGTATAGTGAGTAATGCAGAGTTGTGGATGCGAAGATCCATGGTTCGCGTCTCGTTACCACAAACAAAAAAATCCTGCTCCGCACTATGGGGCCGTAAGTTCATTACAAGAGTGATGGTAAAACTTGACAAGATTAGCCCAAGAGTTGGCGGTGGGTGCTGTTGACTAGCTGCCTTCCTTCTAGTCCATTATCTCAAGATTAGGTACGACTATACGAACATAGTTATTGTGTAGCTTTGTGCGAACATTTTAAACAAGCCAAAATCAAAGTATGAAAGGTTTAACACTAGTTTAAACATGGATGGCATTGTTTCGTATTTTTGTTTGGTTTAACAATAGTTTAAACATGGGTGACATTGTTTCGTATTTTTGTTTGGTGTAACAATAGTTTAAACAGGATGGCATTTTTTCGTATTTTTGTTGGTTTAACACTAGTTTAAACACGGATGGCATTGTTTCGTATTTTTGTTTGGTTTAACAATAGTTTAAACATGGGTGACATTGTTTCGTATTTTTGTTTGGTGTAACAATAGTTTAAACACGGATGGCATTGTTTCGTATTTTTGTTTGGTGTAACAGTAGTTTAAACACGGATGGCATTGTTTCGTATT